TATTCCCTCTTCTTTTATAACAACTATACATAATAACAATAATAATAACCACAACGATAATAAAAAATTGTCGTCTAACCAGGACAATGTCAATCGATAAATATATAATAATAATGATAACGATTGAAACGATAGTATAAAAAAAAAAGAAAAAAAATAAAGAAAGAAAAAAATAACCTTTTAACGAGCGTCATTATTATTAATCAAATAAATCAAATAATGATTTATTAATTTTGTTATCCTCTTTTTTTTTTTTTCTTTTTTCTTTTTTTGCTTTTAAATAACAACGATATTACATCGTAGGCCAATTGTTATTATCAAATCGTTATTTTTATTGTTATTATTAAAAAGGAAAAAAATTTTTTAACGATATTTTTTTAATTTGAAAAAGGAAAAACAAAAAGAAAAGAACGAACAAGATGAAGAAAAAAAAAGGATATAAAAAAAAATAAAACTTTACTTAATTATTTATTGATCCATAAATAAATATTCAATAAATAAATATTATAATTATTATTTCTTAAATTTTGTTCATTTCTGTTCACTATTTTCTATAATAACTATACTATTATAACAATTCGTTGTGACCATAAAAATCTTTCTTTATTCGTTTTATCGATACTCAAATAATCCTTTTCAAATAAGATATATATTGAACAAATATAATTTATATAATATTATATATATATATATATATATATATATATATATATATATATATTTTAAATCAAACTTCAATTTTATCTGAAATAATTATTCAAAACCGATTAAAATTTTATTTCAATATATTTTATTCATTCCTCCTTGATTTATCTTTTTAATAATAATAATATCATAAAAATTCGTTGTAGTATAAAAAAAAAAAAAAAAACGTCCTGTCAATGCTCAAATAATTTCGAATACAATACAATTGAATAAATATAATCGAACTAAAACTTCATATACAATAATTGCATTTAAAATCGAGTTTCAATTTTTATCTTCAAATAATTTTGTCAAAATCGATAATCATTTAAAATTTCGTTTCGTTGTTCGTATCATCGTTTTTTTTCTTGCGTTTTATGTTTCTTTTTTTTTTCTTTTTTTTTTTTGGATAATAATCAAAATCGATAGAAGAAAAGAGAGAGAAAAGAGGGAAAAAAGAAGAAAACGAGGTAAAAAAAGAGAGAAAGAGAATATCAAATAAATTCTATTAAAAAAAAAAAAAAAAAAAAGAAAAAAAATCCTTTCAAGTAATCGAAATAAAAAATAAAAAGTGGAACGTTCATGAAGAAGTCTATTTTTCTGAAGTACCCAACCGATCACTTCGTTGACGCTCGATAAAGTCGACACAGTCGACCAAAGGAAGAACCTTGTATCGTTCCTATCACGAAGGGGTGTATCTTCTCTTTCTCCTTATAACCGCGAAAAAAATCACCCGTGGGCGATGAGTGAATTCAAAGGAGATGAAAAAGAGAGGAAAGAAGAGTGAATCTCTTGGATTCTTTTTTCTATTGTCTACGTTCTCCGTTTCGCGATCGTTGTAGATACGATATCAACGTTCTGATTTACAAGAAAGTTCCCTAGATACATACGTACATAGATATATTCCTAGATTAACTATAAATGAAGGACAGGTTGAATCAATATTTCGTTTGTTAAGAAGATAGAAAAAAGAAAATATATATATGTATATATACATGTATATATATATATATATATATATATATATATATATATATATATTTATATGTATATTTAGAACCAGTTAAAGCAATATTTTGTTGGTTAAGAACAACATAAAAAAAAAGATATATATATATATATATATACAAATACACACTATTTGAGTATTAATGGAGTACCTGTTGAAGCACCATCTCGTTTGTTAAGAGCAACAATAAAAAAAAAAAAAGAAAACATGTAAAATAAAAAATAAAAAATATATATACACTATTTGATCGGTTGAAGCAATATCAAGTTTTTCAGGAACAATAGAAAGAAAAAGAAAAAAAAAAAATATATATATATATATACATATATATATACAATTTGATTGTAAATGAAGAACCAGCTGAATCAGCTGAAGCAACATTTTGTTTGTTAGAAGCAATAGATAATAAAAAACAATAAAAATGGAATATATATATAATTTGATTATAAATGAAGGATCAACTTGCAATATCTCGTTTATTAGGAGCAATAAAAAAAAAAAGAAGAAATATATATATATATATATATATATACATTAAGAAAATGTATCAAATATTTGTTTACTCTAATATCTTAATTATTAATCTTAACTCCATCTACGTTCAATAATTTTTTTAAAGAATAATCGGTTAAAGTGTCTAATCGACTAGAAAAAGAAAAAAAAAAAAAAAGGAAAAGAAAAAAAAACTGAAGAAAAAAATATACAGGATAGTTTCCATAAGAAAAACTTAATATTATCGAACTTTTACAATTCTATTGAAAACCTTACGGTATTATTATTTCATAATGTTATAATATATTTGACACGTAAAATTCATAAAACTTTTCTTATTGTATATAGATCTTTTTTCTATTACTCCTAACAATGGTGATATTAAACTGGCCGTTAATTTACGACCAACCTCTATACAGGGTGTAACGAAACTACGCGATAAAAACTTTGAAAAATAGATTTCTCTCGTATGTAGAGAAAAAGAAAGAAAAAGAAGAAAAAGAAAGAAAAAAAAAAAAAAAGAATTAGATTCCATCAATACCAATTTGGAAATATTTAATTTCTGAAATTTATATGACCTTTAAGTGTAAGTTATCAAGTGTGAATGATCTTGATCTATATCAATGATCGTTCGAAAATTATGACATATTTCATTAACATTTCCTTAGATGAAATTTTCGAAATGTCCACCATCTGACTGAATGAGAAAGCCTGAACTCGTCGTCGTCTCATTGAGTTACAAACACGCTCCAAAATTCCTGGCTTTGAAGCTTGTTAGATGTTGGTTAGAGTTTTACGTAGTGTGTGTTATTCATTCTACTACCTTGTAGACGAGATAATGTACTCAAATGAATGCATTTGCGTCAGTGCATTTCGTTTATGATTTGCCGGATGGCAGTGCACTAAAATCATACTTGAAAGTCTTATTACTCAGAAATTAAACATTTCCGGATCCATCTTAATAGAACCTATTGTTTCTTTTCTTTTTCTTCTTCTTCTTCTTCTTCTACTTCTTTAAATACAAGAAATTTATTTCTCAAATTTTATAACAACCTGTGTACCCGAGCGCGTGGGTACAAGAAAATAAAAAAGAAAAAAAAAAAAAAGAAAAAGAAAAATTCATAAGGATTAACATTATCTAAAAATCGATCTCGAGAACGTAGATTGATAATTCAAAAAAAAAAAAAAAAAAAAAAAAAAAAAAAAAAAAAAAAAGAAAGAGAGAACGAAAAAAAGAAAGAAAGAAAGAAAGTAAGAAAAGGAAAAAAGAAAATCAAAAAAGATAGCATGGAATTAAAAAGCACGCGCTAATTTACTTCCTCCAATTTTCCAAGTTCCGCAAACTTTAAAGCAGGAAACCTTTATTTGATCTAGGCGAACCTTCGTCGAGTGATCCTTTATCCGGCTGGAAATTAAGCGCGATATTTAAATCCACCGTATCCAAGCATGAACGTGTAATAGTGACCCGTTGTTTGCTTATCGTTTCTCGTTGACTCTAGAAAATCCTTCGGCCAACTTTTTGCATGACATTGGCTACTTTCTTTACTTTAAAAAAAACTACGCAAGATAAAACCTTGTTTCAAAAATTAACAGATAACATCGGGGACGGGTGGTGAAAGCATTCCTTTGAGAGAGAGAGAGAGAGATCATTGTTCTATTCCAAAAAAAAGAAAGAAAAAAAAAAGAAGAAAAGAAAGAAGAAGAAAAGAATATCTACGATATTATAATGAACCACCACCATTGATGATGATGATGAAGAGGAGGAAGAAGAAGAAGAAGAACAACAACAAACGAAGCGCGTGGAAAATCTACAATATCGAGAGTCGTTTTCGAGAAACGTATAAGTATTACGTCGATATCGAGATAGCAAGGAAGGGATCATTAAAAGTTGCCACGGCTCCAATTGCATCGTGAAGAAAGGAGATACGTAAGTGTATTTGTAATAGATATACTGCAAGGTATACGTATTATATAGATATACATACGTGGATATATAGACACACGTGTATATGTGTATGTGCATGCGTGTATGTATGTGTGTAAGTATATGTGTATATATATATATATATATATATATATATGTATATACATGTGTACGCAACGTACTCGATGAAAATAATTACAGTAAAATATATATTCGAGGATAGAATAAATAAATAAATAAATTTGACGGAAAAAAAAAAATATATATATATACATATATCCGATACTACACGTATAACCAGGTAATAGAATTATATGTAAGATAATTTTTCTATACGTCTATTGTCTCATTTGCATTCGATGTTTCGAAATAAAAATAAGACTAAAACTAAAAAAAGAAAAAAAAAACAAAAAGAAAAATAAAAAAACATAAAAAGAGTTATCGAGCATTGAAAACAAATTAAAAATGTAAAAAAACTCGGGCGATTGTTCGATAAATTTTTCGATAAAAGTAACGCGTTAAAGGATTATTAATCAAAAGGCGCGTATTAGTAGTAGTAATAGTAGTAGTAGTAGTAGTAGTAGTAGTAGTAGTAGTAGTAGTAGTAGTAGTAGTAGTAGTAGTAGTAGTAGTAGTAGTAGTAGTAGTAGTAGTAGTGGTAGTAGTAGTAGTAGTAGTAGTAGTAATAGTAGTAGTAGTAGTAGTAGTAATAGTAGTAGTAGTAGTAGTAGTAGTAATAATAATAATAATAACGTTGGATTAAAATATTTTAATTAACGAGGATAAGTGGAGAGGGGAAAATGATGAAGATTAAGACGTTAATGAAAAAAAAAAAGAAAAAAAAAAAAAGAAAAAATCAATCGATCGATATGAAATAATTAAATAATAAACCTTTTAGCGTGCGAGAGCAATCATACTCTCGGTGGATCTTATTCTTGATGATGTCCCGGGATTATCGTCGCGATCCTCCATCGCTTATCGAAGGCGAGCAGTAGTCCGAGGACACCTGGTGAAGTAGAAGATGCGTAGGAGAGAGAATGCTGGCTGGCTGGCTGGCCACGCGGCCAGATCGTCGTTCCTCCGGATCTCTTTAATTCCGCGTTGTTCTTCTTCTGTGTTGAAGAAAAATTTAACGACGTGGAAAACGAAGAATTGGACGAAGATAATGTATGTGTTCGTTGTATGTGTCCAATCTTATATATATACATATATACATATATACATATATATATATATATATGTATATATATATACATATATCTATATGTATATATATATGTTTCTTGCCTTTCCTCCTTATCACAAGTTCGTCTTATCACTCGATATTTCTCTCACGTTTAATGTAACATCACATAATCTACGAATAACGAGAGCGAGAGCGAGAGAGAGAGAGAGAGAGAGAAGGAGAGAGAGAGAGAAGGAGAGAGAGAGAGAGAGAGAGACAGAGAGAAAAAAAAGAGAGGGAGAGAGAAAGCTTCCTAATGTATATTATAGTGCTCTCTATCGTTATTATGCTAAATGAGTGATTAAAGTCGGATCACAGAAATAATAAAGAAAACAACCGTTGCACGTTCGGCGACCGCCGCGGCAAGACTAGGGTCTGCTCCCCGGCCGGGGTAGCTACCATGGCAACCCAACCACCCTCGGTTTTACCTTCCTCCTCCCACTCGTATAAAGAAACCCTTTCTCTTCGTCTCGCGCAGCTACTACCCGCCGTGTATGCTTCGCCACCACGCAGCTTCCCTACTCCCACTATTCCGGACACTCTCACCACCGTCTCACCAATCCCCACTCCTACTCCTATTCCTACTTCCCCCACTCTCACTCCCACTCCTACTCCCACTACCATCACCACTACCACCACTTGTCACCCGTCGCCACCACAGACGACGCCACCGTCGACGACGTCGCTTCGTCCAACTCGGTCAGAATTTTCGTTTAGAAAGCGCGAGTCTCTAACTACAACCTTTCATTGTCTCCTATATATATACATATATATATATATATACATATAAAGGATATATGTACATATGTATATATATATATAAATGTGTGTGTGTCTTTTCCTTTTTCTATTTTCTTTTATCTTTTCTTTTTTTTCTTCCCTTTCTTCGCTTTCTTTTTTTTCTTTCTTTTCTCCGATCGTTCGATCATGACGGTGACGTTTCAACGATGACGATGATTTCTTCTTATTCTTCTTCTTGCCTCCAGCAACTTCCTCTTCTTCTTCTTTTTTATTTTTTAATTTTTAATTTTCTTTTTTCCCCCTCTCTTTCTCTCTCTCTCTCTCCCTCTCTCTTTCGCTTTCGTTCTTGATATATACATACATACATACATAGATTATTGCAAAGGAAGAAAAATATGTTGTTCCCTTTTTTTCTTCGTTCGTTCAATGAGATCGATCGATCGATCATATTTTGCATCTTCTCTTTTTCTATACTCTAACCCTCCAACTATCCCTATCCCTATTGCCACCCCATCCCACCCTTGAACTCTCTCTTTGACTATAGCCGTCGACCAAAAGGGAATATACATTATCAGTTACCACAGGTCCGTAGTATATTCGCCTATATTATTTTTCCACGGATTAAGGTGGGTTTACATCGGAATTCACGGAAAATAGAACGAATGTCGTTCCGATCGGGCAAGCCGGCCTTTATTGTTCATAATGATTACGGCTAGTATTCTTTCTGGCGAACAATATTTTTTCATTTCACACGATCGCACTATCGATAACTTGCACTTGTCGATGTTACGTCTTTTTTTTTTTAGATATATTTTTTTCTCTCACTTTTTTTTTCTCTTTCTTTCTTTCATAATTTCTTCTTTTTTTTCCTCTCTCTCTCTCTCTCTCTCTCTCTCTCTCTCTCTCTCTTTTTTCTTTATCTCCTTCAACCCTAACGAAGTTCTTCGATGGCGCCTAATTAAATTTAATTTTCACACTTAATAAAATTGCATTCAATTTCCAATTATTCCAATTTTCCGATTTTTTTTCTCCTTTTTTTTTCTTCTCTCTCTCTCTCTCTCTCTCTCTTTCTCTCTCTACTTTCTCTCCTACTTTCCGGCTTTTTTTTAAAACTCTTTTTTGATAAACGCGTTATCTTCGAGTCGCAGATTCATTCGTTTTCGGCCTCCTCATTTTTCCAACTTTTATCTCAAAGATTTATTTTACCTTCATACGTTTAAATTTCGCTTACGTATTCATCCTTTTACCATTTATCCTTTCTCTCGTTTCATTCATTTCTTTTACCATCACTTTCAACCTTATCGTCGAGTTTTTATTTAAATACTTCTTATTAGCCGTATTCTTCGAACATAATCTATTCCCTATGATATATAGATGATAATGACAGATCTAACTTGTACAACTTAATTTCGTGAAATATCTAATTTAAAGATCTTTATATTCACTTAAAAACCTATATCTAAATCGAATAATGTTTTAATCACATTTCTTATAATTTGTTATTTCATTAATTACATTAGATCACGTCTATGGATATATTTGTAATTTTTATTATTACGAAATTAATTAATTAAATCATCGTGACAACAAATCAATTGATAGTTTTAATCGTCGTTAAAATCCTCGTGAAAATAAATGGGACGATTTTAAAGGGCATTTAAAAATAATGCCCTTTAAAAAGCATGTTTCTGCCGAGCGCCATCTGTTGGATTTAACGTCAACTAAAAGAAAAAGATTACTCCAATTTGGAGGATCATATCTAAATACGAGTAAGATATTCTTCTACGTCCGTTTGCATCTTCTATGGTTGAAATTAAGTTTAAGCGTGGCAGACGACAGAGTTAAGGAAATCCGGTTGAAGTTGTTCACTTGATCTGCTGGCACTTTAGTGACATTTCGCGTATCTAATGCGCGACATTTGTTTATTACGTTCGTTTCAGTTTTTTTGTTTGTGTATAATAATGTTTACCATAGCGAATAATAAATGAGTTCGTTCACCTTATATGTGAGATAGATCCATATTTCTGTAGACTTAAATAAGACGGTTATGAGGCTTCCGTATCAAAAACTGCCCATTGTACGATATTTTTCCATTATTTTTACTTTAATTTATAAAAACCGTTATGGCAGAGAAGTGTAAGGTATGTGCGACAGTGAAAAGTATAAATTCATTTTTGTGAGCTTCCAAAAAAAAAAAAAAAAAAATATACATATAAATAAAAAAGATAAAAAAAAATAATAAAAAAAAAAAAAAAATAAAAAAAAAAAAAATAACATTCATGAATCAATCGATCAATCAATCAATCAATCAATCATTTTCTCATAAATAAATATGTTATGCTGGAATAATGCACAAAGGTAGTGTTTGTAAATTATATTATGTGAATTAAATACAATTATAAGTTTCTTACGTACCTATCATTTTTAGGAATGCGGCTGTGAATGCACAAAATGCACGGAGAAAGATCTTCAACAATGTGACATGCACTTGCACGTAGAGATAGAAAATTTACGTCAGCGCCTATTAGAAAGAGATAATCATATTATAACAATGGAGACGCAATTTTTAAACGAGGCAGAAAAATTTCCAAACGGAGAATTGGCCTCGATAAAGGAAGAAATTCTTATCTGGCAAGAAAAATATCAAAGGTTATATGAGGCGCATAAAAGAGTTCAGAAAGTCAATCAAAATCTCGAAGATAAATTACTTAGAATAGTGGATAAGTGCGAGAGCGAGAAGGGTACATTCACAAAAGATATAGCGACGTTATCTCATCGTTTGGCCGATGCAAATTATACTATACATCGTTTGACCCAAGATAATGTACACATTTCTTTTTTATTAGGTTATAAGTGTATATAAAAAAAAAAATATATATATATATAATTTATGATTATAAATACTTTAAATAATTATTTTGAATTTAGGAAAGGTATAGAAATGATGTGAATTTGGCCATTCAATTACTTCAATGTAAGCCTTCCAATTTTGTTGGACAAAAATATGATTCGGTAAGATGATGATGTTTTATAATTGCTATGATAGATCTATCAAAAATATTATAACGTTATAGTATGGATTTTTCTTTTTTTGTGTTCTTTTGTGTTTTTTTTTTTTTTTTTTATTGCTTAGTTGCCCACCGAAGTGCAAGCCAAAGTTCGAACATATATTGCACATAAAAGATGTTCGAAAGATTCATCACCACCCAATATGAAAAGCATAATAGTACCTATATCAACATTTCCTCCTACTGCAATGGTTTACAATGTATCTAAGCAAGGAGTTGAAAAACATAGCGATGAAGATGACGTAGAAGAATCTAAACCCCCTGTTGACATTGTGTCAGCTGCTATTATGGCTAAAGTATTGGAGGATAGAGAAAAGGAAAGAATTTTTGCTAAACACTGTGATACTTGCACATGTCATAAAAGTATTTTATTGGTCGATGCTGAATGCCAAACGGTAAATAATTCTGATGGTTGTAACGAATGCACATTTAGACATGTACAAATTGAAGAAAAGCATTCGGAATATATAAACAAAATTAATAAATCATTACAATCTAGAAGTAATCAAAATTCTAATGCAAATTCGATCTTTCAAAAACATAGCCAAGATGCTATTGACAATGGAAACATCCATTTTCATAATAACAGTGATTGTACAAAGTATTCTAATTCCATGCAGTATTTATATAACGTTAAAGATAATAAACTTGCCATCAAGAGTAATAAAAGTTTAGCAGATTTAAGGGATGATAATAAAAAAGATTCAATGAGACAAGACAATATGGAAATCCATACGCAGATTGATTTAATAAATAATGACAAACAAACATCTTTAAGAAGCAATAGAAACGCTAATATGTCTTCTAATATAATAGCTAATATACCTACTCTTTCTACTACATCTGTTACCTTTAATAACATTACACCAACTAATACTGCTATTAACATTAATGGGGATAAATCAAAACAAACGCGTACAAATAGAAAATCCGATTTTCTAATAGACGCAAAATCTAATACAAGCAATTGGATTAAATATGAGAAAGAAACATCTTCCTGTTCTTATACTATACCCGGTAACGCTGCAAAATATTTTAGCAATAAAGAACAGACACAAATAGACATTATTAATGATAGATTATGGAAAAATGAATGGATAAAAACAAAATTAGACACTAATACAAAGGATAAAAATAATGATAATATTACTAATGATCCTGGAATGGATATTATTAATAGTAGAGATTGGAAAAATAATAGAATTTGGACAGAGCCTCAAAATCCTACCCATTTAACTTTGATTGAAGTAAAAAATATAGATAACGTAATGGCACACAATGATTGTAGACAAGTCGAAATAGCTACTAGTCCAAGTTTTAGTAGCGACAGTGTTATCATTTCAACTTCCGATCCACCTAGTAGTTCTAGCGATATTGTACAATCTTCTATTGGTGTACAATCAATTAATTCTGTGAATAATCAAAAATCTAATTCCCATAATCGTACATTAGGTTCAAGATCCTGTCTTGTACGATTAACACATGGATCAAAGAACGTTCTAATAGATAACGATGGACATTGTAAAGCTACCTTATTTACAAATACGAATAATAAACCAAATGCAGCTTTAGTACATACAAAAAAAGCAATTACAATTGGATCAGAGAGATCACCTCCTGTTACTAGTAAAAAACATTCAGTTCTATTACAAGATAGTAATCAATTACAGAGAGTAGCGGAATGGGTTCAATCATCTGTTTGCATAGAAAATTCTGTACAAAATAATTTAAATGGATTAAAAATTAGTGATAATAGCGTTAACAAAGAGGAAAACTGTTTGTTCACCTATGCGAATGAAAAGTCTTCTAATCATAAATCTTTTCAACTCCATAACAAACAATGCCATGATATAAATGAAAAAGAAGAATTAAATAAGGAAATAGATAGTAATAAAGAAATAGATTCTTTATTCCCTGGAACAAATGTTAATAGTATGATGGTGGATGATAAGGACAAAGATTTAATTACATTTGATATACCTAATGAAGATGAAAAGATACGTTCATCTGTAAATGATAAAAATTCTATTGATAATAGTTATGAAGTTAAGATTACCAGAGAAATGGAAGAAACGTATTTAAAGTTGGCAGCAAGTTTAGATCCAGTCACGCTTAGTTTATCCGATGCAAATAACAGTGACATTACAATTGAAAAATATAGGAAAAATTATAAAAGGCTTCACGCCCAAAGATCTCACGATAAAGTAGGATCTATGACTTAAGCATTTTGGCTGTTTTGAAAGATTGCTACTTTTGCAGGAAGTTCCTTTTAATGATATCAGAGTCTTATTTTTTGTAAACATGATAAACTAAGGCTGTACCAAGTTGAGTCATTTAGAATGAAAGTTCTGCATGTACATGTCAATGCAAATGATTAAATAATTTTTTGATTTAAGTAGATAATATAGATTCTTATTGCATATTTAAAATCTGAGGATGGATACCTGAAGAGAGTGTCTTTGTATTAACTTCGGCCTATAGCATTTACTTTTAATATTAAATGAGAATAGTATTGGAAATTAGATACAAAGACTTTATAGAATTATAAATTACTAAAATAATTTTTACAATATCAGCTGATAATTGTTATTCCCTATATTGATATTATAATAATTTAATAATAATTTAACAAAATTAATTCTGATCTCTTATTAATTACTCATAAACTAATTTGGCATAAAAGTAAATATTAAAAAAAAAAAAAACAAAAAAAAAACAAAAAAAAAAGAAAGGAAAAAGGAAGAAAATAAATAAAAAAAAAAAAATAAAAAAATAAAAAAAAAAGAAAAAGAAAAAAAGGGAAAAGTATCTTTAACAAAATAAGAAATTACAAATTGTTGTATTGGTGGTACAATACTACTAATATAAGAATTTCAAATATAAAAAGATTATTCTATATTATCAGGCAAAGCGATTAAAAGAAAAATTACTAACTCACAAACATAAAGACGCTGCTAAAAGCTAATCAGTAAAGCTACTACCAATAATGAGTATAAATGATGGATTGTAAATGTCGAACAGATGGTAATTATCCTTGCACAAAGTATCTGTTATTATCCAGCAATCAAGATTATTGTAATTATTAAATAGTAATCAATAATTGCTAAATCTATATGTTAGCTAATCTTATAATTCTTTTTTTTTTTTCTTTGATGCTGCACTACAATCATTGGGAGGCACAATAGTAAGCAGGTCAGTAGAATCTACGGGACCTTGGGCTGATAGCCCCCAAACTATCAACCCCCACTTACTCAAACCCCCTCTCCCACACCTACTAAAGACAATTCTTACAGTAAATAATATATTTTCCGTTGAATGTGTGTGTATGTACGTGTGTCTGTTTGTGTGGAGAAACGACAATATTAATATTAACTTAACCGTGTTCGAATGATATATTTCAATTAAAATTCGACAAAATCAAGATATATATATATATATATATATATATATATATATATATATATGTATAACATTAAGATGTTTGCAAAATACCCAAAGGATTTCTTAATATAATTATTATGGTTTCATACCAAAATTGTTCGTACATACCTAATACCACTGAAATAATAATTAAGTTTACGAATGCTCATATTACCAAAGGTGAACTACACTTGTTACAAAGTTACTGTAATAAGTCTGCTTGAATAAATGTGGGACAATAGCTCTGTATTTAAATTGACGCGTCGTTTATTTGAATTATCCTAATCCATTGTCAGCAACGTCCGAAACTTACGAATACGTTCGTACCGTTTCAATTTAAACTAACCAATATCGCCGAGGCGCGCCAATTTTAAAAAGGAAAAATGGCGGCGTTTCGCCCGGAAATAAATTTCCGACTTTCGTAAAGCTTTGTTTTTTTTTTCTTTTCTTTTTTTTAATAAATATATTCCAAAAAAAGAAAAAAGAAAATTATGACATTATGACACGTATAAGTATTATTTCATTACGATTTGTATGTCTTGCAAAAAAAAAAAAAAAAAGAAAAGAAAAAAAGAAAAATAACAGATAAACTGTACATTAATAAAATATCTTTATTAAATGTATAATAATCTTCATAACATAAATACTCACCTTGCATGTCCACGATCAAGTTATATAGCCTTTTGCCCTTTCCTTGTTTTTTTTTTCTTTTCTTTTTTTCTTCTTTCTTTCTTCTCTTTTCTTTTCTTTCTTTTTGTCGACGACAACGTGCACGATAAATAATTTTTACATTTATTATTTATCTTCTCTTTAAGTACTATAACACTCGTTGACAAAACAAATATCACCGAGTACTTATGTCTTATATATAAAAAAGGAAATAATATGAAAAAGTATATACCAAATTGCATATAGAAAAAAAGATATACAAAATTAATAATTGTTAGATTATTGAAATATTTAAATTGAGATCAAAAGTTCGATAAATTTCTTAAAGTCGATCATCGCACTTATAAATGTCTACGTTAAATAATAACGAATAAATCAAATTTCATATATCAGCTATATTATCGATATAAATCAATTATCAATAATCACGACCAGTATAACACACCATACTATCCATTACTATCTCCCTTCCTCTTCATCTTAATTGTATACAAATTATTAAGAATAATAGATAGAAAAGAAAAAGAAAGAGAAAAAGAAAAAAGAAGAAAAAAAGAAAGGAAGTTAGAAAAGAAAAAAAAAAAAGACGAACGATTACAAGATAAGAACAATGAATTACTTTTTCAATTTTAAAGGGTATATATAAGAAAGGCAATTAGTATGAAAGAAAATTTATGGTCTGTTGCGCCTAACGGATCTAGTCTTATCGATCGCGAAGCAACGGAACTTAAGAAATCAAGCGATCTATCTTTCTTACGTAGAAGGAGCCCCAATTATTTGGTCATCATATTCGTTTTCGTTAAAAATAAATATATACCAAGAAGTTAATTCAAAAGCTTATATCACGAACGATATATGTCTCATTACAGACAACGATTTTTTCATTTTATGTGTATATGTGTGTGTATGTGCAATTTTCTTTTTTATTATTATTAACATTATTATTATTATTATTATTATTATTATTATTATTATTATTATTATTATTATTATTATTATTATTATTATTATTATTATTATTGTCGTTGTTATTGTTGTTATTATTATTAATTGTTCGATAGTTCTAAAAATATTAAAAAATTGATTACTCTCAACTTTTTCATCGAGTCATTACCCTTTTCTAACACGTGTTCTCCTATCAGAAATAAGTCAAACATTGATCGAGCTAATTTTAAATCCACACGAAAATGAGGAACGTTAATGAAGTGTTAATTGACAATGAGTTGATCTCTGAGAGGTTATCGGTGTTATCATTGATTTACTACTTCCATACGATAATAGATATGCATATATATATATATATATATATGTATACACATAAAGATATTAGTACATATATATATATATATATATACTAATTCAACTATATTAATATATATATAAATATATATATATTAATACATTAATTATATATATATAAACTTTTTTTGTCGCTTTAGTTAATCTCCGTGTTTTCAAAATAATTATAACAAGTAATTAAATGAAATATCTCGGACAATGCGAAATATTAAATAAATAAGTGACTTGCGACGATCTATGGAGAGAAAAAAAAAAGAAGAAAAGAAAAAAAAAAGAAAATGAAAAGAAAAGAAGATAAGTAAATAGTTATTGCGTTTAGAGAAAAGAGAGAAAGTTAAAGTTGGTGAAAGAAAAAAAAAAAAAAGAAAAAAAAAGAAAAAAAAAGAGAAAAAAAGAAAAAAAAGCCGAGAGGAGGAGTCCCCCCTTGTCTCGGACATTGTCAGTGCCGTGTTGGTTGGCCAGCGTAAAAGGCAATAAAGTTAGTAAGCTCGCGTTCGCGGTACTGCAAAGACGTCTACTATTCGTTCGTTGGACTCCGTTGATTTCTCAATTAAAGAGAGAAAGAGAGAAAGAAAAAAAAAAACTAGAGAAGGAAAGAGAGAGAGAGAGAGAGAGAGAGAGAGGGAAAGAAAAAAAAAAGAAAGAAAGAAAGAAAGGTGTTCAACTTAGAGAGAATAATAAATTGGAACTCTGGCGATCGAGTGAGGTGGACTTTCAAGTGCAAACCACCGTCACCGCCACCGTCAGCAATACTACTACTACCACCACCACCTTCTTCATTACCACCACCACTACCACCACCACCACCACCACCATCACCACCACTATCACCACTATCACCACCACCACTAGCACCATCACCACCACTACCATCTCCACCTCCACCACTACCACCACCAACAACCCCCCAAGTTGGGTGGTCACTTGCGAGGGTGGCCTCAAACGTCGTCCTTCGTCCTTTCTCAGTCTCCGTCCGTGAGTCGGCTCCGGCCGACTTCTTCGACTCCTTCTTAGTGTCTTTCTCCTTTTTTCTTTCTCTTTCTACCATTTCTCTCTCTCTCTCTCTCTCTCTTTCTCTTTCTCTCTCTCTTTTTTCTCTCTTTGTCACTTTCCCCTCTTCTCCATCCGCGCGTTGTTGATTCGACGGCCATCGATGTCAGGGGTCAGATGATGAAAATTTCTTTTCTCCGCCTGGTAGCCAGGTGAGTCAGACCTCTCACCTCTCACCTCTTTCTTTGTTTCTCTCTCTCTCTCTCTCTCTCTCTCTCTTTCTCTCTCATTTCTCTCATTTCTCTCTTTCTTTCTCTTTCTCTTAGCCCTTGTCTCCTCGACCTTCTACGACGACTTATCGATCGATTCATATCCCAACCTCGACTTTGAAAATATTAGGATCTTAAAATCGAAAAGTTTCCTATCTCTCGTTATATTTTAAATAACATCCCTTTTTTTTTTTTTTTTTTTTTTTTATTTCGCTTGAGTACGTTGCATCTTGTCGAGAAAATAATTTCGAGAAATTCTAAGATCAAAGATGATCGATAGAAGTTGATTCTGACATATTTGCGACATATGTACACACAAATACATATTCGTAAAACGTTTTGCTTCATTATTAATTCGTATTTTTAATTGTATTAAACATTTGTTCTCTTTTTTTTCTTTTTTTTTTTTTTTTTCATTAACTACACTTTTTTTTCATATAATAAGATCAAAATTATTATCATTGTAATCTATCTTCATTTGTTCGTATCGAAGATATTAAAAATCATTGATAACGAGTTAATTAACACAACGTAACGATCGATTATTATCTTTTATTTCAAGAATGAACATTTTAATAGATTTGATACTTTATCGCATTTAAATATTCCCAGTTGAAGACCTTCATTCTCTCTCTCTCTCTCTCTCGCTCTCTCGCTCTCTCGCTCTTTCTTTATCCATTCATCCAATCATATATCTATCTATCTATCTCTCTTTTCTCTTCTCCAACACGATAGTAACAATGGATGTTTACTTTCCTTGAATGTACACTTTGTTTCGTGAACGAATACGATCGAGTTTTATAATTTTGAGATAAACATTACGAGAGAACGCGAACCAAAACGAATAATAAAACTTTTTTATTACCATGTACTTACTCACGTTCCACTAGCGTCGTAAATATCTTATCTATCAATTAATTCTAATAGTTTCACGCGGATTCACGAATCGAGGATATATGTATATATCATGAATAATATGATATTTAAATTTACGAGATTCTCATTAATACGTCGAAGAATGTTTCGAGAGAGAAGAAAAAAGAAAAAAGAAATGAAAGAAAAAACAATATGAAGGAATTGTCCTAGACATTAAGAATAATGAAAAAGATACAAAAAAAAATTAGAATAGAAACCATTAAAATTTGGCATTCGACAGTTTCGTTCGTCATTAAGAGTAAATTGTTAGTGGATTAAAAAAAAAAAAAAATAATAATAATAAAATGTTTAAAATCATCGAAATATTTGTTCGATGTTATCGAATTTAAAAAAAATATCATTGTTTCATTGGTATTATTTGAATGAATTTTAAGTAATGAAAAATGATCATTTTCACGCTCGAGCATGATCCGACATAGATTATTTTTCAAATCGGTCTAACATAAATCTGTTAGCTTGAAACGATGCCCTTTTATCTTAGACTTCAATCACCTATCATAGAAAACAATTTACATGTTAAATTTTCGTTGCTTTCGTTGAACGATAAAATTTCTACGTGAAAATCTATAAAATACGATAAAATAAGAAAGTTGTGTATACATATATATATATAAATTTTTTGATGATCGCCTAAGATATATATATATATATATATACATACATACATACAATGAGACAACTTAATGAATAAAATTAAATAAGAAAGAAAAAGTGTATATTAAAAGATAAAGATCATCGTGTAAAAGTACGATCCTTTTATCGTATCCAATTTATTGTTTTTAATCGAAGAAAAATTAACAATTTTAATGAATATTATCTTCTTAAAATTATAAAATTAGATAAAATATACAAATGATTGGAAGAGATATTTTTATTTTCTTCTTTCTTTTTTTTTTCTACGCTTTGGAAAGGAAAAATATCGTCGAATCTAGAGAAGAAAAGAAAAAAAAAAAAAAGAAGAAGAAAGAAGAAAATTTATTGCTTAATTGAGAGAAAGTTTTGAAGATGAATTAAGTAGTTCGTTAATCGAAAACTATGCGAAGATTTAATTATTATATTTATTATATCTAAGTACGTTGGGATTTACATAAAGAAATGAGAATAAAAATGAACGAAGATCCATTCCTGATACGCACACGAGTGCTCGCAAGGAACGTCGGAGTATAACTGATCGTAATTTGTAGGAATGCGTCATTTAAGTTTATCCTTGAGAACATAACGTAAACATAAACGCGGTTATACGCGTACGTATGTATGTATGTGTGTGTGTATAAAGTACGTAAACCTAGAACGGGCAAGTTACAAAGAACGTATAATACTATTCGTATATATGTAAATAAAAATTATATAACGTGAAAGGTTATAAATAGTATTATATAACTAATATCATTTAACGTACGTATTAAACTATTCAATATAAAATTAATAATTAATCAATGTCTAAATAATTAATATTAAATATCGTAAACAAAAGTTATTTCATTTGAATATATTTTATTATCATATTAATAAATAATCATGATTAAAAATAATTATAAAATTGGATATCCTTTAAATAAACTTTCAACGAATATACGTCACGTTCTTTGAAAATAAATAATATTTTAATAATCACAATACATACGTAACAACATAATACAAATGTTTAAGTTTCGATACGATAATTAATAAAATGATTTAATGATTCTTGAATAATAATAACAACAACAATAACAACAATAAAAACAAAATGAATTGTCGTTACGTAAAATGTGAGAATATCTTGATAAAAATAATAAGTCCTTTAGGTCGATCGAAAGACGAAATCAAGGATCTTTTTTATCATTTAATTTTTCTTCAATATCACGTCCTTATAAAGGACAATTGAACGCGTAATTGAGATTGATCATTGAAAGGATAATTTATAAGAACTCGAAATAAAAAAAAAAAATCGTTCTAGTTCGTCCTAGATTCTTAGGTTCCTCGTGACGAGGAAAGAAATTTGAGCAATTTTATCGGCTTAAAATTTTCTATCCCGTGCATGATATCTCGTTATCGCATAAATACGTATGTATATATGTGTGTGTGTGTGTGTGTGTGTGTACATATAAATACACAAACAAACATATAATGCATACGAACATACATACATACATTCATACATTGAGTATGTGTATAAATATATATATATATATATATACACATATAATATATTTCATATATATTATATATATATATATATTTGTGAGTAAGAGTTTTTTTAGCTTTGGAAGAGTGCGAGAGGTGTGGGCGGTTACTTTTTTGCTGCGGCGCTCCCAGGTAGACGATCATAATTAGATAGAGTGCATAGCGCATAGGTGGGTATTCTGAAAAATTGCGAACACTTTTCGCGTTAACGCGCAATCGCATATTCGTTCAATTTCGATGATGCCTTTTTATAATGCCGCCATTGTTCTTTTCGCACTTTCCTTCCTGACATCTTTTCTTCTTTCTGATCTTCCGTAAGGACGATCATTTTCTTAAACGTCATTTATGAATTTCTACGAAAACTTGATAAACGATACAAATGTAAAAATTATTTACTTGTAAATAATTAATTAATAATTATAATGATAATTAATTATTTACATATTTGTACAATTTCGACGACTATTATTCTTTTTCACTTTATTCATTCCTTTATTATTTGATGATATAATTATTTTCATAGTCATTTTTACAGCTATTCTTTAAAAAAAAAAAAATTATAAAGATATCTTATAAATGATATAAGAAAAAGAATTATCTTCATAAGTAATTAATTAATGATTAATTACCTATATATGTTCAATTTCGACGATATTCCAAGATCGGCATGATTTTATTTTTATTTTATTTCTTTTTTTTTCTTTTTTTTTTTATTATTTTTTTTTTTTTTTGTTTACTTTCATTTCGAACAAACAATCATGTCTTTGTCGTCATCTTTATAGCAGTTCTTTTTTTTTTCTATAAATGATACGAAAAAAAAGTAATCCTATCTATTAGTGGTATTATTTACTTGAGTTATTGTTTACGGTTAAAAAGAGAAATCTACTTTCGAAGGAAAAAATTTCTGTATTCAGGATCGTTTCTCGAGTAAATATTTCTTGAAATTTTTACGGACATTAAATAAATACGTAACTAAATATAAATAAATAATAAGCAAGTGTGGAGAAACTTGGATATCGGCTTACGTTACCAAGTTAGTTTTTCTTCGTCTTTTTTTTTTTGTTTCCTACGTTTAGTTAAAAGAGAAAATAGATAGAAACGAAGAGACACACTGATGACACTTTAATCTCACAATATGATTTCTCTTTTCTCAAATACGATTCAATATGTTTTTCTTTTTCTCGTCTTGTTGCACGTTCACGTATACATTTTGCAAAAGGAAATTGCGGCATGACACATCGTCGGACTTTCACGATTACCGGAGTCGTTGACATCGTTATATACCATGCCGTCTTCGTTGACTATTATTTCTTATGATGTATAATCTAATGAAAAAAAAAAAAAAAAAAAAAAAAGAAAAATTTTCCATACAAATTGCGTCGTTATCATATCGGTCATTATTTTATAATGATCCTCCTTCGAGATGATTTGTATCCTTTGATGTGGAGTAAAAATCGAAAAAAAAAAAAAAAGAAAGGACAACATAAATTTACGACATAACTATAGAATAATAATAACAATATAAAAAAAAAAAAAAGAAACCGATAACAACATAAACGACGTCGTTTCGAAGGAAAAAAAAAGGGTAAAGGCAAAAAATTGTTTTTCAAATTCGTCGAATTTATATTAAATTTTCTAAATCTATTTTATATTACTCGATCTTTCTCTATGACTTGAGACGGGTGCACGTGTACGCGTTTGTCCTGTTCGTTGATAGAAAACGGTAGTCGTAAATATTACCATGGTATTCCTTTAACGAACGACAAGAGACCGTGAATTATACTTTGGACACGAGGTCGCACTCGTTTCAAACGTATAAACTGCATCTAAATTCTAAAAGCAATTCAACCTGACACTTCCTTGTAATTTTCTTATTATTTAAGAATTACGAATAAACGAGTTAGATAAAGGTATTAGTATAGAAGATACGATTTTCTTTTTAATTATTTACGATTTGGAATTTTAGATAATTTTTTGTCGTTTTTTTTATCTTTTTTTTTTCTTTCTTTTTTTTTTTATTATTACTGGAAAGATGTCAGTCAGTTGTGTATTATCGTTCAGAAAAAAAAAAAAAGAAAAGAAAAAAAGAAGAAGAAGAAGGAGCATAATCTTTAAAAAAATTATTTTTATTTTGTATCATTAATGCATTCTTAGAAAGAGAGAGAGAGTGAAAAAAAAAGAAAATTATTTAAATCGTTTCGAGGAAAGAAAAATGCCTTAACTCCTGTTAATTCGATCAATCGATACTTTCTATATTCTTAGCCATTGATTTTCACCCAAGGGTAATAGATTTTAAGGCGTTTACTGGTCAACTCAATGTGCTCTAATTTACAACATTTCTTTTTTCCTTTCTCTCTCTCTCTCTCTCTCTCTCTCTCTCTCTCTCTCTCTCTTCCTCTCTCTCTTTGAAATTTTCGTCAGACCTAATCTAATACGAATAAATTGTTACGTTGATGTAAAAAAGAAAAAAATAATCGGAGATATGTTAGCTCGTGCAGTAAGTAAGTAAGTATGTAAAATGACGTAAAAAATCGCCAGTGCAAAACGAAACGCCACATATGTTCCAGCATGATTAAGAGAGCGTAAAGGAGGTGCGATATATATATATATATATATATACATATATATATATGTATACCCATAGCACTTCATAATATCATAAGAGAAAAAAAAGGAAGACGTTATAAACTTTAGTTCGGCCAGACGTAACGAAAAAAAAAAAAGGAAAAAGAGAAAAAAGAAAAAGGAAGAAGAGAGACAGAGAGAGAAAGAGACAAAGAGAGAGAGAGAGAGAAAGAGAGAGAGAGAAAAAAAAAGAAAGAAAAAAAGAGAACACCACGAAAGAGGAATCCTGTGTGAAATTATTTAGTACGATAGTAATGGTAGTACATCGACTTTATGTATGTATGTATGTATAATGACAGTATTACGCGAGCTCTTAATAATTAACCAGGCATCAGACCAAAACGAAGACGAATCCTTCCCCTTTCTCAACTTTGTATCTCTTCCTTGGTATTATTTCGGGCTAAACGAGCATAGGAATAATACTTTCGAAAAGTCGAAAGTGGGCAAATTAAATGGAATAGGCTTTAAGGAAATTGCTCAATATAATAATATATTTTTTACAACATCTCGTATAATGAAACATATGTTTATATGTATTGATTATAATTAAACTTTAACTTTTCACTAATTGTATTGAATGTATAACAATGGATAATGTACTTTCGTATTAATTAATTAAAGAAACGTTATTAAATATGCAATTACATGTACATGTGTAATAATATGTATATGTTAGTTAATTATACTTACAATTTTTTAATACTATTACATTTATAATAGTATTTTTATATATTTATATATTTATTTATAATAATAATTTTGTATATATATATATATATATATATATATATATATATATATAAATTTATTAATATTCTTAAATATATCATATCTATATTAGTTAATTACAAGTAACTTCATTAATATCGTTACAACATACGGACATGTATATTTTTAATAATTAATTAGAAATAGAATTACTAATATTATTATACAATATATATTTGCAACAACGTATGTATTTATACTTATTATTTAATTAGATATATATATATATTTATATATATATATTAGATATATGTAATATGTTATTGTTAGATATATATGCACACATGTTATATATAATTATATTAATATTAATATAAATATATATACATAATTTTATTAACATTATTATATATGCGACAAAGCATAAATATTTCTAATTGTTAATGATTTTGAAATTTTTTAATATCATATACCATACTAAAACTAAATACTAACGATTATTAACATATTATTAACAAATTCAAATTTGAACTTTTTAATATTTATTTGATCAATATTTTTATTAATCAATGGTAAGTATTTTATCAAATAAATGATTAGTATATAAATATTTTATTATAGTAGAGATCTTTCATTAATAATATTGTCAATTTATAAAAAAAAAAAATATCGATCTAATAAATAATAAATATTAATTTCGTACGAGAACGACTATTTAAATTTATTCAATTAGGTGAGAGTAAAAAAAAAACGTCAGCATCTATGAAGGACACGTGGGATCAGCTAAGATGAGACGCTTCGACGATGTCCGTGGTACCCGTAAAATCGGAGCGTCGCCTCCATTTCGTGTTCTCACGACACGAGATTCTTCCTATCTCGGCACGTCGTCGTCGTCATCGTCGATCATACCCCAACCAAGATCGACAACGTCACCAAAAATACAATTACCACCAGCTCAACCTCCAACACCGCCACCACCAACCGCACCGGATCCTTATAAATTGGTGCCAGCTGGTATGATTCATATAATAAATAATTAAAATACTAGTAATCTTTTCAAGATATTATTTGAATATTAATTTGTTATATAATTCGATAAATATGTGAATAATTTTTTTTTTTTTTTTTTTTTTATATATAAAAAATATAATTAAGATTCTAATACAAATATTATTCGAATTTTCGATTTTTCATTGTTACGATAAACGATTATGTTATTAATATATGATAAACAATTTTATAATTAATTAATGTTATTACGTAAAATTCTAATTTTTACATAAGACTCTAATCATTTCAAATATTATTGGAATATTGATTTGTTATTATTTTGATAAATATGGGAATAATTTTTTTTTCTTTTTATAAAAAAACTATAGATAACATTTTAATAGAAATATTATTAGAACGCAAGTTTTTAATTGTTTCGTATAAATAATTATTTTTACATTAAAAAAAAAGATACATAATAAAATTCTTATCATTTCAAATATTATTCGAATGTTGGATTTTTCATTGTTTCAATGAACAATAATTTTTACGTAAAACAAAACATATAACATTCTAATCAATTCAAATATTATTCAAATCTAAATTTTCAATGTTTCGATGAATAATAATTAAAAAAAAAAAAAAAACAAACAAAAAAAAACAAAATAAATAAATAACAAATATGAAACAATTGTCGATGTGTAATTATTAAAACTAGAAGAAAAAAAATTCTAAAACGTCGAAATATTTAATAACTTTCAGATTTAAAATCGAAACCAATAGAAATAATAAATATCCAGAAGTAGGAGTTAATAACATTGTGAATATTATTTAAAAAAATATTTTTCAAATTTTATATTGATATCTGTACTAAATGAAAATTTATGAGAATAAAATGAGCTGATTAAATGCTCGTTGCAATAGGTACGGCCCTTGGTAGGGCCCATCGTCGTTCCAGTTTCGTGATAATCGCTGAAAGTAGACCAGCCACTCCAGAATTAAGAAGTGTCTCGCCTACTCAACCACTAGGAAGGGTTTCGCCATTTCGAGGTCGTGGTTTCAAGGGTCCACCACCTAGATCAAGACCAGACTCACCGGATGATTATCTTGATCTAAGAAAGAGCCATCAAAGAAACGTTCGAAATGATTCGAGAGGTACTTGCGTTAAACAAAAGAAAAAAAAATATATATATATATACCAAAGAAAAAAGAAAAGACATTATGCAAAATAAATAATTGGCCTTAAGTTTAACTTGTTTCAATTTGAATGATAATTCATAAATATTTAAAAAAAAAAGAAAAAAAAGCTAAAAAGATCTAAACAATACTTTGGCATCTACGAATAAAAGTGAAAAAAGTGACGATGAAAAAAAAAAAGAAAGGAAAAAGAAAACAAAAGAGGAGAATAATTGACTTGATTGTATTTATTCCAATTTGGATAATAATTTGATACTTTTTCAAACAATTAATTGATATATAATTTCATAATTATAAAAATATGAATCTCTGTTTCTCTCTATATATATATATATATTTTTTTTTTTTTCTCATATAAACTTTTAGGCAACTTGTTGATTTTCATTCGAGCTCATTAATTCATATATCGAAATATTAAACTCCATTAAAAATCGATCAGGCTAATTCTCGCTTTACGATATATATATATATATATGAATCATTGATTTTGAAAGTGGGGCAAGTCTATTTTCTGAAAAAGAAAATAGTTAAAACTAAATATTATTACAAATTAAAATAAAATTTATATTTTTATTCAATTGATAATAATTATCTTTTTAATAATTCACAATAAATATCTTTTAATATCAATATAAATTCATTACTAGTAATTTATTTCGACAACGATATTTATTATGAATTAATTTCGAAAGTGTGAATTAATTTTGAAAGTGAATCAGGTCCATTGGCACATATCAAAATCATGATTTCTTTTGATCTAATACGAATAACCATTATTGCATATTAAATTTATATCAAATAAAATCACAAAAAAATATAAAATAAGTCTATTACTGCTTATCAATATTTTTTAAACCCATTCAAATGCAAACGATTAAATGTCTAGCATTAACATAAAATGGATTTGCCCCTCTTTCAAAAAATATATAAATATATATATATATGAGCTATAAATCGAAAAAAAAAACATTTTTTTTCTCTTTCATTCAACAACAAACAAAAACGTCGTCGTCGTTGTATCTCTAAAAAAGCCAATGTATTATTTTAATTTTAGTATCCCAACAGAGCAGTCCGAGGAAGAGTTTGATACCTCAACCGACCCGACGGCGATCAGTTTCTCTTAGCAAAACAACAGATGATAGAATATCACCAAACATTGGACGTCGTGATGATAAGAAAAATTGGCTGAGCGTTCATGGTAGTATCGACAATGTCAATGACGGCCGTAGAAATAATCATTTAAACGATTCATCAAAATTGAGACGCGATCGGGGAATAATTAGAACACCATCGAAACTTTCACCGATTCGTGGTACACCAACGAGAGTTGACAAATCAAATTTACGTACAGTAACAACGAGAGATTCTAAAAATGTTAAAAATCTTCAACGGAATACAACGACGACGGTTAATTCCGTTTCACGTTTTATATCGCCACCGAAGAACATTCAAAAAAGGGAAAGATTTATAACGACCGATGATAACGTGACGCCCATCAAAACATCAAGAATACCATTGAAAAACAATGGATCAAAAGGTTCGTCAAATATCAGCATGTCCGAGATATCGAGAAACAAGGAAATCAATGATAACGAGAAAATCGATCAAATGAAAGATACGATTAACGTGAACAACAATGAATCAACGAGAAATGATAATGTGAAGGATCAAATTGGTTTAACGGATCTTTTGAAAAGGACATCCGGTGTAACTGGTACGTCAAGTGTCGTTAATACGACAACGACTACAGCTGTACAACCATTACGTATCGATAATTCAAGAATTCCAATAGATACGACGAAAGTCGAAGGACAATTCATTGACATAACAAGAAAATCTGAATCGTCATATTTAAAAAACGATGATACGAATGGTAATAAATCGAGATTGTTAAATGGTCAAAATCATGATGATAAAAATAATAGCCGAAAAAAAAATACACCATCGACTTATGGTACACCAACAAAAGCTAACAACGAACAACGTTATTCGATGACTAACAAGGATGGTGCTAGTGATTCATCGGGTGGTAGTAATTCGAACAATCCCATTAAATCTCGTTTAAATAGCGCACGAACTAATAGAGTTTACAATCGTACAACCAGCCGTGAACGTTTCGACGTTTCAAAGGAAAACGATTCCGTTAATTCAAAGACAAGTTCCAATACGAGAAATTCAAAGAATTCAAAGTCGAACAAACGATCGAATTTCATCGATGAAATATCACCAGTTTCAAATAATTCCATTTTAGAAAATGATAGGAAAGAAATTGAGATCGTCAAAATAATTACCGATACTGATAAAAACGTTAACGATGGAAACTCAATAATTAGTAACGAAGTTATCGTCATTAATACGATCGATGGTGGTACGATTAATAATAAAACGATGACAGATGATAACACGTCTTCGTCTAAATCTAACAAGGTTATTGGAAATAGAGTAATAACTGAGGCAACCGTTGAAACTGAAACATTGAGGCAAAACGTTATTGATCAAGGAGAAAATGTTTTCGTTTCGTCGAACGAAACGGAGAGAATATCTGGGACAATGTCATCATTGAAAACAAACGTTAAAGGGAATGAGATAATAACTAATACGATGACAACAACAACAACGACAACTACGACTGTTACGTCTATGTCACGAACTAATGGTATTTCTGTTAATTCCATTGGTGATTCCGGAACGATCGGTAATGTTCCTTTAAAAACTGTTCATACACGTAATATTCAGAATCATGGGAATGGAAATACACCGAAAAGGCCATTGACCCAGCTTTCTACTGGATCTAATGATAGTGAACGATCCACTGATACTGGGGTCAGTGTTGATACCGTCAAAGGAGTTTCCTCGCCAAGAGTGAAAAGCGGAATGCATGTGGTCAAACGACCGGATGAGATCGAGACATTGAGCGGAAACGTGATGAGACCAGAACAAAATGGCGATCCAACGTAAGTTTCTTCTTCGTTTTTTTTTTTCTATTTCTTCTTCTTTTTTTGTTTTGTTTTCTTTTTATACCCCTCTTGAGTATTTACTTTTATTTGTTTTTTTTTCTTTTTTCACGTTTGATTATTCCACGTAAAGAATATGATTACGTAAATTTTTTCTTTTCTCTAAGCTTTAACGCACGAGATATGATTACGTTTAATCAACATACGACGTAATAGATTATGTGTTTGCGTAAGATCTATGTCACGCATTATAATTGCTTTATCCTAATCCATTCGTCTATTCATATCTTTATCGTTACTTAATACGACGAATAAAGTCGTTTCTATTAATTTTAATCGATAAAAAAAAAAAAGAAGCGATAATAATAATTATGCTAATTGTTCTATCGATCAGAGATATTTTATCGTTTCGTTAATGGTCAATTATTTTTTGCGATAATTATTACTATCGTCATAATTAACAATAATATTTGATTTCTTCGTTTTTAATTCTACATACGTGTATTTATACGTATGTCTAATCGACAAAGAGAAAATTATCAAAGAATTATATCAAAGAGAAGATATGATAACAGCCAAAGGGAATAAGTAATAACAATGTTAACTATAGTGAACTACGGTCTTACCAAAGGTTTCGTTCGGTTTATGGTATCATAGTCATTAGAAGGAATTAGTGTGGAGTAAACGAATAGAAAGACGAACTATGTTAGTCGAGGATGAATCCTACATACATACATACATACATACATATATACATACATACGTACGTACGTACGTACGTACGTACTTACATACTTACTTACTTACCTACGCTTTTGTATGCTTACTATGCGAACTCCTAGAGTTCCTTAACCTCTGAATAGTTGTAAACCTCCTCTAAACCGGCTTCGGAGGATCGATCGTCCAAGAAGTCCGAACCAGACTATATCGATCCTCAACGAGATTTACATGACCGCATGAACAAGTTCCGTATGAACGAACGGGAGATATCTCGGAAGGATCTAACAGCATCTAACGAACTTATCACGAATATATTTACATTTTACGTCAACGTTAACTAGCTGCAACTTCTTTTACCTCCGACCCCAACACTCTCTTCCACCATTTCTCTCTCTCTCTCTCTCTCTCTCTCTCTCTCTCTCTCGATCCGGTTATTTTTCTTTTTTTTTTCCACGTTCCTCTTATTCTATCTTTTTATTTTTCTTTTTCTTTCATATTCTACCATTAATTTTTTCTCCAAACGATTTATCTTCTTTAACCCTAGTTGCACGTAGATCTCGAAATAATTTCGAATTGTGCTCTTAGAATGCACTACACCTCAACCTATCCCTCCCCTCCTAGGCACTTTAAACAGATGTCATTAATATACAGAATTAATAATTTTTTGACTCGAAGATGAAAAAAAAAGGAAAAGAAATACTGTATATACATTGAAAGCTCGAAAATAATAATCAGTAGATACGAAAATGCATTTCCAATTTTGTCATTATAAAAAAAAAAAAAGGAAAAAAGAAAAAAAAAAAAGAAAAAAATTCATGAATCACAATGCAATGAGCAAATTGTTTTAATTCAGTTCAAAGTTGATTTGGTGTGTCCTACACCATATAGTCACAATTAGGGTTAAAATCGGAATGAGAATGAGAGAGAGAGAAAGAGAGAGAGAGAGAGAAAGAGAGGGAAAGAGGGAAACTATTTTTTTTCCAATTAAACCTCAATTAAAGTGATTGATTTACAGTTGAAAGGAAAAGAAAGAAAAAAAAAAATATATATATATATATATATATAGTTAAATACATATCGATAAAACTATCTACCGACGATCTAACTGCGTACACGCAAAGCTTCTACTGACTTATTTATTTTTTAATTTTTTTTCTGTTCTCTTTCTTTATCTACCCCCCCTCTCTCTCTCTCTCTCTCTCTCTCTCTCTCTAACGCGAAACTCCTTTTAAACGTTGAAACATGGGTCGTGTCGCAAGAACAAATTTTGTGTTTTCTTAGGAGTTATAACTGTAACCAGATATTGAAAATTGGTCACGAAGTTTCCTCGTAAGGTTACCTTTTTTACATACGTCGTGTCCTTAGCATACTAGCATAGAAAATAGAGTACTACGAAATCGACTTTTACGCCTGGTTTGCGTCGTCACGCGTTCTATCGTTCCGCCTCGCGGCCAAATGGAAAGCAGGACAAAGCGGAACCGAAGGGTTAACAAATCCGGAGTCACGTACACGTGTCTAGCTGTGCTGATGATTAATCGCGCGTCGGTGATTACATCAAGATGAAAATGTAGATATAGACGTGCGAATACGATGCTATCGTTGAGGAGGACAATCTTTTTTCTTTTTTTTTTTTCGTTTCTTCTTTTGTTTTTTTCTTTATTTTTTTTTTTTTTTTTTTTTTTTTTTTTTACGTCAAAAACCGAAGAAAAGAAAAAAGAAAACAATTTGTGTATATCCGTACTCTTTTTTTTGTATTTTTTATTTTTTATATATTTTCGCATTTATATGTGTAGATTTCGTACGAATTATTACGTTCTCATAAATTAGAGATTTGTTACAATAACAATCGAACTAATTTTATAAATATTCATATTTTTCTTGTGAATATAAAAGGAAAAAAAATCATTCAATATGAATTAAAGGTTTATTTTAATAAAATAATATTTATTTATAAATCGATTTAATATAAATAATTTGTTTTTCTTATAAAAATATTTAAAAAGGTTTAATTAATAAGCGCTAGGATGAAATAAAAATTTATTTTAAATAATAAAATGATATTTATTTATGAACTAACTCAATTTCATTTATCATGTAAATATAAAAAATAATTCATTCGAATAAGTAATTATTATTTAACAATAAAACAAAATATGTTTATAAATGAAATAAATTAATCAGAATTTTCCATTGAATTGAAGATATTAGAAGAAGAAAAAAAAAAAAAAGAAACAAAAAGTATGAAATAAAAACGTACTACCATTAGAAAAATTTAGAGAATGCTTTGAAAAAAGAAAATATATGAAATATTTAAGAAACTCTATTCGTAAGATCGGAGAAATGAAATCATTAAATATCCAACACGCGTATATTATAATCTCCAATGTATGTTATCTCAGCCCTCTTTCATTTCTATTTTTAAATATCCTCTTTACGATTTCTACATCTCATCGTCATCGCAATTCTCCAGGGTCACGCCCTATCGATTAATTCTCAGCGTGCCTCCTTAAAACTTTTCACGACTTTCAAATGCCGTCTATGATTTATCTAAAAACTTTGTTAAACTTTGTGGAAAACGTTTACAACCGATCGGCACATTAAACTTTAACGATTATATTTATCTTTATCACGTATACGTGATAAAAATTTAATCATTATCGTTATAAACTAAAATGATTTTGTGAGAAAAATTTAATTTAAAAAATTTTTATATAAAAATATTATTACGATAAGAAAGATTATTATGACATAATTTGAAAATTAATTAATCGAAAGGGAGTAATCTGAGTTTCACGCATTGATTCATTATATTTACTTTGAAAAAAAAAACAAAGAAATATATATATATATATATGTATATATATTCGACATAGGTATATAACGTAAAAAACCTTGAAGAATAATTTCGAGATTCTTAGAAAATAAATCTATTTAAAATCAATAATATAAGAGAGATATGAACTGAGAAATGTATATAAATAAACAAAAAAACAAATGAAAAAGAAAGAAAAAAAAAATGAAAAACTTCAAATGAAACCTTCAAGAGTTTCACGTGACAAGCTATAATATTATATTTACCTTTTAAAAACATATTCTTAGTACAGATTGCATAATTATCGATACCAAGGAACCTTGACGATGTGAAATATTCAAATTTGGAAAAAGTTAATTAACCGATAAAAATCAATATATTAGAATAATAATTATTTAAGGATGATTATTAAAAATGATCGAAATATGAAGATGATCTAAATGTACATACGTAAGGGAAACTTTCGTAAATAACTTTAAGACGCAAAGTGCAAGGTACTAAGAACAGCATAAGGAACTTAACAGTTCAGTATTATCGATCTTTTGGTCTCTTGGTCAAGCTGGTAGTGGCTACTCTAGACGTTTAAGACTAAAATGTTGCGGTGCGGTACGGTGCGGTGCGGTGCGGTATAGTATGGTTTAAAGGGACGTCGGTCGAAAATAATCGCGTGACTTGTTCTTAGGCTCGACCAGTCATTGCTATACCACCACCAGTATCACACAACCACCACCACCACCACCACTAATATCACCCTCCTACGTCCCCTTCGTCCTCCATCCTTAAGTCCTCTCGAATGGTCGCGACTTTTACCGACTTCGAAGGTGTACTGCGGCAGCCGCAATTTGCGAGTTGTTCGACGATTCGATTCTGTCGAAGATGGTCAACGGTTACCCATTTATTTACAACGGTCACCGTGCGACAAAACTGGAAATTGATTACGTTCGAGAATTCCAAATCGATTTTTGCGGTAATTCGTGAGTGTTATCTAAAATCACACGTAAACGGTACAGTTTAGTTTTCAATCGAAGATTTCTAACGATTAATTAAATCTTAGTGCGTCATTATCAAAAATTTTCAACATAAAAAAATAAAAAAAAAAAAAAAAGAAAGAAAAAAAAAAGAAAAGAAAATAAGAAACGTGATATTTATTTTTCTTTCTTTCTTTCGTCTATTAAATCGTTTCACATCGATTATGCAATTATGCAATCGATGTGACGATTATTTTCGAACGAACGAATTATTAAGAAATATTTAATCGTCGTATATTTCAAAAGGATCTCTCAAGAAAAATATCTTCAAGCAAAAGACAGACTCTCAAACATGGTTGACGTTAATTATATATATATATATAAGTCTAGAGGTAGCAAAGAAATGCCAATTTAGTAGACTTCTATAGATTGGCCCATCCTTGAGTCAAGTTAACGAGCTAGCTTGAGGATGCTTAATAAGTTTAAAAGCTTGATAGGCGCACCTTCTCCTTTTGGTGTTGCGCAGGGCGTTGCAGACAGCAGGTGAGCCCAACTCGGAGGAAGATAGGCCAAGTGCCGACAAGCCCCTTAGTCGATGGAAAAGGACCTTGGGCCGTTATTACGAACGTTTTCCAACTATGAGATGTTTAGCATGTCGACGTAATTCTAAAATCCTTTCGTGGTCCAGAAAGAGGGAAACAACTACTATGGGAAATGAACCAATGGAAACGAGACATGACATTGCCGATGATATACCAATCGATTGTTGGTCCAAATTCAAGAAAAGATGCAGGTTCGTATTAAAGAATAATTTTTATTTCTTCGCTATTTTTTTTTCTTTTTTTTTTTTTTTATTGCTTTTATTATCGTTAAAAAAAAAAAAGAACGATTAATTTTTCTCATAGCTCTCGTTTGTACATAATATATAATAATAATAATAATAATAGTAGTAGTAATTAAATAATTAAATAAATAAATGAAAGAACTTTTTTTCATAGAATTTATTTATTTATTTTTCTTACTATTCATTTTATAAAATAAAATGTAATATTTGTATATATCGACAATGTTACATCGGTGATAGAAGATTTTCTTTTTCTTTCTCTTTTTTTTTTTTTTTTTTTTTTTTTTTTTCAATAATAGACTTTAAAAGATTAATCAAATTTAATCAGCATTATGTCAGAGATGATTTAAGATTTTTAAAGAGAAGTATTGTTTGTCTCATGAAGAATGACTTCAGGTGACAATAAAATTGATATCTTTGATCTATTAAAAATTATAAATTCTCTCTCCCTCTTTCTTCCTAATAACGATATGAAAATTAATTTGCAATTAATTGTATTATATTTAAATTTTACATATACATATATGTGTGTGTAAATATATTGTACGTATAATATTAAAGTTGAAATATTTCTGTGATATATATATATATATATATATATATATATATATATATATAAAATTACTAAAAAAAAAAAAAAAAAAAAAAAAACTTTTTTGCTTATATTACAATGTTAATTATTTTATTTTTAATAATTTTTGAATTTCCTTTTTTTCTCTCTCAAATATCATTTTTCACGTAGATGTCAACGTCCAAAGGGAATTAGATGCTGCGCAAGAAGGGACAGAGTCGCACCGGACGAGCCCAATATTTGTTTTCCACCGGAGAGAAGATTATCCGCCCTTTGCCAACGGCTTTTTGCCAGTTGCAAATGTAAATGTGCGGACGTACAACGCACAAGGGATATACGTGCCAAGCCCAGTCTGACTAGTGTCGCGCCCCCTCCACTTTCCGAGGTAACACCCCTAGCCAACCATTTTCATTTGTAAGAACAATAGATCCATAATTCGATTATATTATATCTTACGAGAAAGCTTTGTTCCTTTTTTTGCTTTTGAAAAGTTTCTGTATTTTTTCTTGTTCTTTTTCTTTCATTAATTTTCCTTTCGTTCTTTTTCTTTTTTTTTTTTTTTATTTTTTTTTGTTTATTTAAAAATAATCCCGAAGCGAATTTAGGACAGAACATTTAACATACTAACTAATAGATAAATAAGTATGCGTTCCAATTTATAATAATATTTAATGTCATTGTTAATTTCTCAATTGATTTTGAATAATGATTGGTTTCAATTGTTAAACAAAAAAAGAAATGTTTACATTAAATTTAATCGAATATTTTCATCAAGGGATTGTTACTTCTTCCAATATATATGTATATATAATATTTAATATGTAATTATAATATTTAATATACATATGAAATATATATATATATATATATATAAATGTTTTTTCTTTTTTTTTTTTTTTTTAATTATTTATACACATTTCTTAGTTTATACCTCTCTTATATTATTGATTTTAAATAGATTTATTTTCTAAGAATTTCGAAATTATTCTTCAAGGTTTTTTACGTTATATACCTATGTCGAATATATATAATATATATATATATATATAAGGTTGGAAACCATGAAACGGGCGTTTTTGTTTAGTTATTTATTTTCATTCAACACTCGTTTCATAGTTTCCAACCTAATATACATATATATATATATTAAATTAGATATAGCTTATGTAGATAATTCTAGTGTTTCAAGATGATTTCTTGTATTTGATAATAGGAGCCAAAGGCTAAAATACCTGACGTTTTGGTGGAGCACAACTCTTTGATGCGAGGTGCCATTCCTTGTATGCCAGTTCCACTAGCTTGGTTTTGTCTCGTATTTAACGTCTTGCTACCTGGTACAGGTAAAAATGATCGAGAGAGAGAGAGAGAGAGAGAGAGAGAGAGAGAGAGAGAGAGAGAGAGAGAGAGAGAGAGAGAGAGAGAAAGATAGAGATAATTTCGCTATTCGCACTTTCATTTTTGTTTTTTTTTTTTTTTTTTTTTTTTTTTTGTTTAATTTCTTCAAATCAAATCTAATTGAGATTTTATTTCTTAGGGACAGTTTGGAGCGGACTATTCAATCTTTGCACAGGACAGCCAAGATTTTCGGCAGTGGCCGGTTTAAAGGCAAGATTTGGTGCATTTGTCGTTAATCTTATAGTAGGCGTCAGCCAATTATTCACAGTACTATTTTGTCTCGTTGGATGGGGTTGGAGCGTTTGGTGGGGTGTAACGATGGTTCGTTTGGCAAGTAAGTCAATGAAGTTATGATAAATTCAAATTGATCGATAATTTTATCGATTATTATAGAATTCAAATAAATTTTAATATTATGCCAATCTTTAATATATGGAATACATTCGTAGGAAAGTACAAAAGATATAAAGCTTCGGAAGCTGCAAATGGTGATCCAGAGGCAAGAACAGGCGAAGGATCTGGCATACCACCTGGATTACCTAGTCAATCATTGAGAGGAATCGAAAGAGCACGTTGAAATATCGATTTAATTATATTTCCTTGGCTTCACATCTTCCGATCGAACGTGAACGTTCGTTCTTTGACGATCGAAAATGATCGATTAAATGATAGTTATTCTTTTTA